TCTGTAAACCCCCGCGTTTGCCGAAATGAAATGGGCAAACGCTTCAGGTTAGCAACATATGCTGCAGGAACAGCTCTTGCTCATCCAATCATAGGTACTTCCGATTAGCTAAAACTAAGTTGAATTAATCTAAAACTTCGTCACCCACTGGTTAAAAGCAGGTATTTATACCCAGATTAGCCAAAATATGTGAAAAGCACAATACTTATAGTAGATACTAATTTTATCCGTATATTTCGGATAACCGATTGCTTTTGTAAACCGACAACACCACAGTAGTGTAGTTCTTCGTCCGACATGGCAACTACCAAGCGCAGCACAAGGGTTTCTTCACACGAATGGATTAATTCGTAGGATATCATCTAAACAATTTCCCTCATCTCCCAGCGAAATCGTCTAAATTTAATCCATGTCCGTGGTCATGTCATTTCTATCACGGATTGATATTACTGTATGGATGAATATATATTGGAACCGACAGGACAACACGAGATATGCAATGTTCATTATACTTTACTTCAAAATGCAAAACAACTTTTTTCTACATGAGGGGGCACTTGCCCGTCTTGGAGTCCAGCACTCCGTTGCCCCCTGCGATCCGGTAACACTTGGTCGAGGGGAAGATGGACATGATGTTGCTGGTCACGGCGAACGACACGCAGGCGACAAACGTGGCCACGAGGATCACCCCCGCCACTTTGCTCTTGCCACCACGCGCCTTTAACGCCTAGACTTCCGCCTTTTGGCGAGGCAGCAAAAATAGCCAAAACAACGACGCCACTTTGAACCCGTACGAAATCATGTACACGTACGCGACGTCCCACCGCACCTCGAGCGTGTCGGACTTGATGTCGTTCTGGTGGACTTTGAAGTACGAGTTGATGTACTTGTAAAATATCCTGGCAAACGGCCCCGCGAGGTTGTTCACAGTGGACACAAGGCCATAAATGGCGCCTTCGTTGCCCTTGTCGGCGATTTCGACGGCCACGTACGTGGACACGATGAAGCGGATGCCGTGGGGAATATTGTCGGCCAACGCTATACCCGTGAAAAACCACTGGTTGCGCACGACGTCCCAGATGGTCATGTACACGACAAAGCCGTCGATGATGATCATCCCGAGGGTACCTGCGGTGATGGTCCAGCGCCAGTTCCAGTTAAGCCCCCATTTGCCCACAACCACCAAAATACCAGCAAACATCAAACTACCAATGATGCTCGAGAGCGAATCGTTGAGAGGTTCGACCCCCGCCCAGTACGTCGAGACGGGCAAACCCGCAGTGGTGCGGACGCCCTGAAACACGTTGCTCACGAATCGGAACAAACAGATTTGCCACGTCACGCGACTCTGGAGAGATTCCCAAAACGTGCCCCACCATAGGATGAAGGACGAAGGCTCAGTCTTCTTCTCCACAAGCAAGAATACCGTCGAGAGCACTACCAGCACACAAGGCACCAAGCAAATGCCATACGGAGCATTCGGCGACAACGCAAACGAAAACGACCCGGCGTAGTTGGGGCCATTCAGCCCGAACGCAGTTACCAAGTACGCGAGGATGCCAGTGAGCTCACGCACGGTGTAGATGGCGGTTTGGATGCGGCCGCGGATGGCCACGGGTTCTCGCTGGGCGTACTCGACCACCATCGCGTCTGACGCACTCGCAGCCAAGACGTATCCAAACGCGATAAACATAGACAGAAGGATGAACAGCGTGCCGTTGTCGGGGGCGGTCAAGTTAAAGTACTGCAGCTCGGACTTGGGCACCTTTTCCAACGGCGTGCTGCAAAACTTGGTCTTTTCGCGGTTGCAAAACGGCTCGCCGAACGGCGAAAACGCCATCACACTCAGACAGATCATTGTGATGGTCCACCCGATCAACATCCACGACTTCCGACGGTAGCCATAGATGGGGACGCAATCCGACAACGGCCAAAGATGACCTTGAACGACCACCCGATCACGGTGAGCACGCCGTACGACGACGTTTGATTCCCCTCCAAGTTGAGGTAGATGTTGAAGATGGGGTAGTTGAGCGACGGGATCATGCCGTAGATGATCCCGATGGCGCCGTACTGCATGAAGAGGGCAAACGCTTCGCGCGAGAACAAGTCCAGCGCCCCCCCTTCCAGGTCCTTGGGAGATTTTGCTTCGGCGTACCCGTCAACATCTTTGGCCGTGTTCGATTGGACGTACGACACACGTTCCTCCAAGTCCGCTGCCTTGTTGTCGTGGCTTGTCATGGCAGACGCGAAAGTGAAAATGAACTGATGGTTGTCACTCCACCAATTCCTCTGCAGGTGGGATCGACTCCTTTATTAACGTCACAGGGTTAATCACTTCGTGTACATCGTAGTAGTGTAACGTTAGCAAAGCACAAGTTTATCGGAAAGGCCAAGATGTCGCGGATACTCTCCTGAAATATTAGTATGTCTCAAAACCTGGAGGTACATGAGTTTACCGGTAACCTGCCCACTTTATACTCTGTTGCTGTTTCCAAGGGTATTAAGGAAATCTCGTCCATCCTAGCGGGTTAACTGTAAAATCACCTTTGTTCAAAGCAAGCTTGTGCGTCAGTGTAATCATGGACGCATGCTTAACGGTAAACCGTGGTTGTCCTAATCGCATTCGCATGCGATCCACCTGATATCTCATTTGCATCTCATTACCTGGTACATGCGGATCCTTCAGGCGAGACAGGAAAATCCTTAAGGAAAGCTGAATACCATGCAAATTAAACGGGTAATCGCCAATATGTGAGTATGTCAGCAAACGTTTGCCAAAATGTGAAACCTTCGCCACAAGGTGAGTGCACTTAACAAAGAATATCGCACACTCTTAACAAATATTACATTGTAACGTTAAATCCAATCTTTGGGCAAAACCACAAAATGTTGGAGCAAGATTGATTGGCACACAATCTCTCAGTTATGCAGACAGTATTCACTTTCAATTCAACAGCGCCACCATGAGTCTTGCTCTTGGAATGGAATTTCACTCAGGCTAAGCCTTCGTGGACTATGCCCAAAGATTGGAAACTGAAAAAGGTTAAGGGTTTCTACTACTGTTAACAGTAAATGAGTGAGTATCACTGTCAGTACCACTATTAAACAGGCGATGATTGATTATGTTACCTTGTTCACAGTGCAGGCTTTCAAAGGAAACTACTACGTAGTTGGAATAATCCCCTCATTAAAACAGTTCCACTGTTGTTTTGACCCGAAATACTGTTTCAACGAGGGAATTATTACATCCGGATACACCTTTTCGCCAGTACTAGTAGCCCTGTAACCTGGGACTCCGTCCTACACCCGGTGAGTACATACGATGCTAAATCTCCGGGGTTAACTGCATCGCTAACCACTGAGATGCACCTAACCCCTAGTAAGAGGTGAGGTGGTCTGAGCATACAAAGTTCCATATAAACCTCATTGAAACAGTATTTCGGGTCAAAACAACAGTGGTACTGTAACTATGGGAAAACGTTCAATAAATCTGGATACCGTTCAGCCAAGTCTGAAAACCGTTCCCGTAACCCTGTAACCCCGGGACTTCGTCCTACCCCCGCGTGCACATACTTCGAAGTATAATGCTAAATCCCAGGGGTTAAGCGCATCACCACTGAGATACGCTTAACCCCAAGTAGGAGTTGAGGTGGTCAGAGTACAAAAAATATGCCTAATCTAACTAGAGTTTATTAGTTTAAATGGTTTTCAGTCTTGGCTGAACGGCGGCCAGCCGTTTGAACGGTTTTCAGTCTTGGCTGAATAGCGTCCAGATTCATTGACAATGTTTTTCGGGGTTTGTCGGCTGTCAAACCTTTCGACATGTACTGTAGTAATAAATCTTTAAACCAGCAGCTGACTAACTTCCAATATGTATTACTGATATCAATACAATTGGACTGTAGTGCTTCCGAAATACTTCCTCTGTTTCAAAATACTATTGTGAATTTGTATGGGTTGAGACACTCCATTTCTGAGAATTTTGCTATTTTTATTCAAATTCGAGATTATACGACGAACAACATCAGGATATACTACATCAACTCGTCGTAGTGTTCTTTCCTCCACTCTTACTGTAGCTCCGTTGTCTTGACATCACTTAATGGTGCATTAACGGACTGTGGTTTGCCTATGAAGTGAGTGAAACTACGTGAGGACACCCGATGCCCGCCATGCAGCAAAAGGTCGAGCCAATGCAGCATGGACGTCCGCTTCTCTCGATGACGTCATAAATTTCACTTTGACACGTGGAATATTTTCGAGGTCCTCAAGGATTGATTAAAAAATTCTATCTCCAGATACAGTAACAATGAGTTTCACTTGCATAATTATATAAATAGTATTATCCATCAAATTCAGCGTGCATAATTTATTCCATATATACATGCGTGCATAAGTTAACTTGATATTATATTTCGAAGGTATCTTTTTAAATTTTGACATACTGTATCTATATTATATTAAAAAAACCGAAACCCCTCGTGGAGTGTAACATGACTTGCGAAATCTCTCTATATTGCGAAATCTCTCTAACAATAATATAAGTAGTGAGATTTCGCAAGTCATGTTTTTCGCGTTCCCATTCCCGTAACCTCTTAAATCTAAATCGTGAACGCCAAATCTCTAATTTTGTACTAGTATAATTCATCTACGGGTGACTCTCCCATTCCCGTCCATCATGGGCCTTAGGAACAATAGATGGAACTGGACCTCTGACGAAGCCATTGAACTTCTCTTTTGAGTTATCTACATAGTGAGGTCTATTGGAGGACACCGCGACGTCAAAACTGATTACAGGGCATCGGCGCCTCGCATGTTGTTCGTATCAGATCAACCTGAAGTTGGGAATTGTGACCTCTCCACTGGAATGCTATGCCCTCACTCTAGCAGGAGCACTTTGGTGTCACAGGGTAGCTTCTTTCGCTTAGTCCACAGTACACGCGCAGGGCAAGGTCTTGATCCTCGGGGTGAATAAATTCAAAGTCCAATGTACAAAACCACTTTTATGTTTGACTATCGTAGTTGCGAAACCATCAAGTTTGCATTCCCATTCCGGTTGCCATACACTCAGGAACGGGAATGAGAGCGCGAAAAACATGAGTTGCGAAATCTCTAGGTTTCGTAGTGGATATTCTTCCCATTGTAACTGGCGACCAAAAGTTGGAAGTCCATACGTACGTATACGTTTTGAACAGCGGGATCGAATACAAGTCATCTTGTACCAAAAAATGGCACCTTCGTCTATATAGATACTTTACGTTTATGTCGCCGAGGGTGGCTATACGTTCGCCATTTCCCGCAGCCTCCCGGTACAGTACGTATGTGAATCATCAGTGCTATTCTTGATGGTACATTCGTTTGTACAAACACCTCTAGTAAACACAAACCAGACACGCTGTCTCCTTACACCACCGTGGCCGACGTCGCTCGGCTGTTGATCACGATTGTTCCGACCCCGGACTTCAAATAACAAACGCCGCCCACCCACGTAAACGCGAGGCAGTTGACATTCAGCCGACAGTGCGCGCAGCAGTCTTCAGCTCTCGGCGCCACAACAGACCCGACGTCGTTGCCACTAAAGTCCGATGCTCGCTGGAGCGGCGCGCATTTTTGAACGGCCGCCGAGGTCGCGCCCGGCCAGAGGCCCGTGCCGTTGATTTGTCTGAGCTTCTTGAGATAGCATCGGCCGTTCGAGTGCGTGTACGCGTGGCAGGCGGGGTGGGCCTGGCATGGCGCGCAGCAGTCGGCGGGGACTGCGCCGTCGACTGCAAAAATGTCTTGGCCATGGAAGTTGACGTTTTGTTCCACGGGAGCACACTCCCCCACGCGGTCGAGGCTAAAGCGTTGGGTGGTGGGTATGGCGACGTTGTTGTTGATGCAGTCGACAAGCTCAATGCCCGACGTCCCCACCACGTTCAAGCACTTTTTGGCGTGTGTCAAGTGAAACACTCGGTGTGTGACATCGTCCAACTTCCACTTTTGATTGCCATTCGATGCGTCACACGGATACATGTGTATTTGAAACGACCTGGACGTGGCGGCATACGCGTCCACGCACTGCGACAGGTCAGCGTCACTCTGCAGCGCTTTGGTGTTGGAGTCCCACCAAAACAGTTGAGTCGGGGGCTGGTTGCCTCCTTCCCCCCCTGCTCCCCCGGTTGTCACCAGGGGGGCCACCCCCAAACCGCCGCTCGAGGTACTACTCGTCAACGCCGACTTGAACGACGTAAATAGCTGGACTTGCAACGCGTGGCTGAACCATTGGTTGCGGTTCACGTTGTGGTCGTGGCACGGCCACAGCTGCAGTACGTTGACATCCACGTCCAAACATCGGTGGTGCGACGCATGGTACAGGTAGTTATCTGCGCCAAACGTCCATTTTTGGTTCAAATTGTTGGGATCACAAGCATACGTGTGGACTTTGAACCCCCCGGGGGCGCCGTCGTCTCGGTACGCATCCAGGCACTGGTTGTTGCCCAAGCTTGTAAATTGTTGGGTCTGAGCATTATACGTGAACTTTTCGTTGATGCTGTGTGTCGGACGTCTGGCGTACACGTTGTCGTTGAGGACAATCAGCGCCTGCCCCCGCGACGTAAAGATAGACACCGCCTCTGACCGATCGGTGGACAGCATCGGGTACTTCCACTCGCTGCGGTTGTTGAGCAAGCCAAAATATGCTTCAAAATCCGATCCAAAGCCCAACTTGGCGGGGGTATCTTGGAGCATAAAGTAGTACGGTGTGGGGGTCTGCACCACTTGCGTCCACGTTTGAAAGCGCTGGAAGAACGCCGTCGCCGCCTCCAACGATGCCACGTGCCCCAAGTTGGCCCCCCCTGCGCTCGGAAACCCCGTTTCGGTCATGCGGACTTTATCCCGGCCGTATTTGCCCGCCAGCCACGAGAAATGATTGGCAAACGACTGAAATGGATCGGCCAGTGCCGCCGGTGCGCCGTTGAAAAATGGGTGGATGTTGACCCCGATGACGTCGCACGCGTCGACGACTTCTGGGTACATGTAAAAGTCGCGATCGATTTGCACTGTACCCACCTTGACATCGACTAAACCGGCTTCTTGGACCCTGCGCTTGGCGTCCAGAATGAACGGCAACAGCTTGGACGGGGTCCAGCCCACAAGCAGCTCTTCGTTGCCGACGTAAATGACGTCGACAGTGCCCGGGTTCCGCAAGGCTCCGTCGATGGCGTTCGTGATCTCGTTCTCGTAGTTGCCGTGTTGAATCCACAACCCTAACGCGACCGTGAGCCCCGACCGCGCCGCCACGTCCGCTGCGTTTTGGTTCCACGCTTGGGCGACAAACGTGCGCACAGAGCTGAACACGGGCGCCAACTGACGGAACTGAGGCTCCATGGCGTCGCTGTTAAACGCGTCCCAGCACACCCCCATGTTGCCATGATTGGTGGTTTGGCCTTGAACGACCACGGCAGCGACGATCATACCCAAAGTCATCATGCTGAAAATTTGGTGCAATGGGAACAGCGTGATGACAGAATGTAAATGAAGCCAATACTGTACAGTCGAAGATTTCATTTTGGCTACCACCTGCCACGATGTAGATCAGACGTCCGGGGCCATATACCATTACTACAGAGTAGTCCTTGCCAACTGCGACACCAGGTTTTGCTGTTCCAATGTTTCGCGGGCAGTCATTCAAAACACGTTTGTAGCGTTAAACTCGTAGCATGAGTAAAACGCTGCAAAGTGCACCATTGACTTTGTTTAACGCATTTCAAACCAAATGCGTAATACCTATAAAGACCTACCGTCTGTTTGTACGTTCGTTCCCTCGTGGGACAGACAGGTACTGTACCACAGATTCGGGGGTACCGCTGACGGGGCGGGAGTTTGTTGGCTGTTTGGCCGCCCACGAATCATGTTACACCGACCACAAGCGATATTTATGCATCGAATAAGTCCAGACCACTCGCATTCGCAAGCTAATTCACTTTTAAAACACAACCACGACACAACAAATCTACCTAAAATAATACTAAGGTCGTTTTGCCCATAAATTTTACTAGTACAACCTCCGATTGGAAATAATTGACAGGTTTACCGGTTACATACAAATAAGATTATATTATACATGTATTAACATACTTGCTGTACCACATATCTCCGCCTAAACCTCTATAACCCGATATGTTTAGGAGAAATCAGATATAGGTGTATAGAAATTATACGGAAGCACAGTGAAAATTGAGCATCATTCCTGATGGGTTTTGACCATATGAGTAACTTCGAAGATATTCTAATTAGGACCTCTAGCATAAAATCGGATTTCTACAGGTACAGTAGTGAAATCCTCTCTACATGTACATTGGCAGTGTAGCTACTGTATTGTCAAGGCGATAAACTATTTTGACTGATACAATGAAACCTATCAATCATTTCCAATCGGAGGTAGGTACTATACGTATACTCGAAGTACCTACTTCGAAGTAGTACTTTTGGCACGTACCGTACAGGTACTTTACAGTTATTTCCGAGTGCAAGTGGACAGTACTAGCCTGTCCATGCTCTACAGTTATTTCCGAGTGCAAGTGGACAGTACTAGCCTGTCCATGCTCAGACAAAATGCTGGTCCGAAAAACATTTTGTTAAAAAATCCATCGAAGATTTCGTCAGAGCTACCAGTCAAACCAGCGGACCAACTTAGGTGGGCTTTAAGTGCGTACTGTATTAAACTCATACTAGTAACTTGTGTGTTCTGAGTTTAATACGCCCTTGAAGCCCCAACTAGGAAGTCCCCCTCAACTCGAATGCTCGCGACTCGAGTCATATTTCAGCTCGTTTCATTACTATACTGTATTTACCCAGAGCTATTACACGTCACTGAAATGTTTGTTTGTCTCGTATATATACACCCCATCAAAAACTCAACTAAAAATAGTACTTCGAGCATCTTACGACCCCGTCAACTGCTCGTCGCTGAGGTGCTTGTGGCTCATAAACTGGTCGACAATGGCATCAACTCCGTCTTCCCAGTTCACATTCGGTTCGGACGAGCTGCCTTCTGCAAACGCCCTCGTGCCGTCCTTAAACTTAGACACGAGCATCGTGAGTTGACGCACGGGGTTGAACGGGAGCTGGGGGTGATATCCCCCCTCTCCTGCCGACTTCACGTTGGTGCGTTTGGTTGCCACGGGCACCGTTGACCCGCCATTATGATTGGTTGTCGAATTGGGGGCTGACGACGACGTTGGGGGGGTCGTGACGGAACCCGTCGCCAACGAGTGATCAGCAGCGAAGTACGACTTGAGGCCGATGTCCCGCTGGTGCAAAATCATGCCCATGACAAACTCCTCCTTGTCAATCACGTTGTCTGCCCCAGCTACGCGGTTGTACAGATCCAAGCAGTCTCGTCGGGTCATGTCTGGGTCCAAGTGATGCACCACGTCACTATACCAATGGGATTTCCCCTATTCGTCAGAAAGTGGCCTAGCAACCAAGCAATTTTGCACCTGAATTCGGCGAAGTCCAACACACCGTTCGTGTCCTTGTCGCCCAGCTGAAACACGTTGTGCATGGTGACAATCTGTTCGGCATATAGTTTGAGCCAGTAATACACGATAGACTCTAACGCCACATCGAGCTCGACTTCGCCGTGCTCGTTTTGCGAGTGGCACAGGTCTTGCATAAATTTGATCGTAACGTGGCTGTGTGCAAACACGATTTGAACCGTCTGGATCAACTTGTCTATCAAAATATCACAAGGTATACGTAAATATATATATACACATATACGGGACAAAAATATATATTGTCACAAGAAGACTGACCGAGGGGTATAGTCGTGCAGTTGGGACTGCCCGTCATGCCATCTCCAAACCACGATTTCAACTGCTTGGCATTCGTTTGCGCTCTTTCTTCATGCATTCGGTAGTTGCCCACTACAATTTGAGATACGATTATGTTCTGAAGCAACTACTGCACGAATGAACGCACCATTGAACAACACCCCCACGACAAATAACAGGAAATCAATCGCCGCCGCCGACGATGCATAACTACCCGGCTCAAGCGACCCCACGAGCAGCCCAAACAATCGAATGCGCGCGCTTTTCTACGATATATATGTATATATATGACCATCAAAAAAATATTTATGTTTGGCGAAAATATTTTGCTACAGATTTCAAGGTTTAGTACCGCAGCGTGTTTTCGAATCGCCGAGTCGAGGGTAATGAGTTGGCCCATAGCGAGCTCCCGTAGCCCATAGTACACAGTGTACGAATCCAACAACATTTGTGCTAGCCCTACATTCATGAATTCAAAAGATCACTAGAATATCAGAAAATCGGGAAATATATATATATAGTATCTCGATATAGCTAGTACCTTCGCGATGGCGGTGCATGTTGTCGTCGGCAATGTCTTGACTCATCTTGGTTTGGTAGAATCCCGAGATGACTTGATGCAGCTCGAGCATACTCAGTGGACGCTTCTTGGCTAAGATGCGCTTGACACTGGCGACCGAATAATTGGCTTCCTGGATCATCAAGTATAGCCCTAGAAAACACAATGTAATGGTAAACCACAGGCCAACAAAAGAGAGGCACAGAATGGCTACAGTGTAGGGACAATTGTACGGACTATTCGAGTGTAGGGATAGGTGCAGTGTACCGATAAACGACTTGTGTCCTTTTGATCCAGTGAACCCCGGCTGGACCAGCTTGCGCTCGTTGTTGTTTTCGCTGTGCATCATGGCCTTTTGCAGCTCGTCGGGGCGCACTTGCGTTTGTTTGTCTTCCGAAGCGGCGACCCGAGCCGCGCGCTCCACGCGCTCCGCCTCGACCTTTTCGTGGATCGAGTCGAGTTGCTGAGAAAGTTGCGACCGGTCGGCTTCGGCGGCGTCCAACTTGGCCTGCAACTCCTGGCACTTGTCGATCCAGTTGCCCTTAGCCAGTGCTTCGTTCTTGGCATGGATCACCGTCATACCAAATACCCGCGCTTCGTACCGCTTGACTTTCTCCTTTTCTTGAGCCAACGCCTCCACAAGACTTGCCAACGCTTCGATCGTGCCTTTCTAAACCAAACATGAGGACTATCGAGCTAATGAGTCGCATCATGTTTCTTCTATGGAATGCAAGATATAAAAAACAATATATTAAAAATGGTGTTTGTATAATGAATATAGAGCGATATATTCTTTTTACGCATAATTTTAAAAATATATTTTCAAAATAAGTGCTAACCAAAGTACTTATGATTCTTAAAGGGAAAATAGTCCAATTGGTAAAATATCAGTCCCCACAATGGTTGGTTGTGGGTTCAAGGAACATGGGGAGCCAATGAAAAGAGTGGTTTCCACAGCGGGGTTGGCTTCGAAGCACCATTCTTCTTTGAATATCGACGAGAAATATACGAAAATGGGTCAAAAAGTCGATAAATACGTAAATAATGATACAAAACCAGAGCGCTGGAACTGTAGTAATCTCAACGATGGGGTTGCAAAAGTGTAACGGGCTTGTCAGGATCCGGTTCATGTGCGTAAATGACGAAAACTACATATTAAACAACACACTCGCACGCAAGCAATGGACCAACTAAACCATATAACGTTAGTAGAGTTAAAGAATGCAATTTACATACATCTTGAGAGGGAATATCCAGCGCAGACACGTGAATCCCAGCGAGAACGTCCTGGATGAGTGCTTGGTACTTGACAAGCCGTTGCTTGTGCTGGTTGGCGTCGTCGTTTTGCTGCTGCACTACACGCACCGCCGCTTCGGTCGCCCATTGCCTAGGAAGAAGCCGCCATCAGAAACAAACTCCTCATCCAAATTAGCGTAACATATGGACGAGAAAGGATGCCATTTCGTAGACGTACGAGCGCATGACTTGAACTTTGTCTTGGAAAAGGCGATCCAGCAGGGTATTTCGTTCGAGGCTGGGCAGAGCGTGGATCATATTAAACAGCACTTCAGCGTTCGCCCCGAGCAGCTCCATCTGGCTGAGCAGCACTTGCATCTGTTCGTTGCCTTGGAGGGCCTTGAATGTCTTGAGGATGTACCCCATCTTCTCTCGTTTCTCCATATTCGCGGCGGGGTTGAAGTCGTTGCTTAACGCGAGCTTGGTGAACGCGCTCACGGCTTGGGTCGTCGTTGAGGAAGAACTACCCCCGTAGCTGCCACTGGCCAAGGACGAGCGCAGGTCGGCGTTTTCGGCTTCGAGTTCCTTGACCCGTTGCTCGAGTCGCACGAGCAACTCGTCGACCGTCGATTTGTCTACATAGTGTCGTTACCATGGCAATGTTCTCGTGGCTCACGAACGAGGGGGTACTCGAATGCAACGACGAGTTCTCGTGCTGCAACGAATTCACTTGGTCAAAGTAGGTAAGCCCCGCGTGGTAGCACTCGAGGGCGGTGAGGTGTCGGCCGCGCCGTAACGTGGCAAAGCTCGTGTAGATGGCCGACCCCAAATTCCTACCAAATTACACATATCTTAATCGACAAATATCAGGAAAAGCACGAATTTCGACGAGTTCCTACACGCAAATCGTGTCCAGGACAGACTGGTACCGCCCAAAAATGGACGACGCTTGTTGGAGGCAGTAGAAGGCCACCGCCGTGCGCAGACGATTCGGGATATCGCGACCCGTAGCCAACACGGCGGACTGCTGGAACTTGAGCTCGCAAAACAAAAAGTACGACGTGAACGACTGCGCCTCTTGTTCAAACCCGAGCAGCCACGCTTCGATTTGGCGCAAGTCGTGGGGCTTGACGTGGGGGTGCTGTTCTTCGCTCAAGTGATGCATCACAGCTGTGGGGGACACCGTGCCAAGAGGCGAGTACGGCCGAGTCATGGGGAACCACGACGGATTCTGCTGCACGGCCGTGGTTTGGGCGCTACGATGGTGGTCAAAAGGGCAATTTGTAGGGGGTATCGATAGAACTACGTACAAGGCTGGTTTGTCGAGTTGTTTGAGTCGTTTGGGTGGCCTAGAGCAATTGTGAATAAATCGTATTGAGGATAAAGAGATAAAGAGATGGTACGTTTTGGAGGCAGTCCGGGGAGCCTTGGGGGGAGACTGGAGCCCTTGGAACGGATATACGTTGTATGACGTGGACTGCGGCAGCACGCTAGTCATGTCTGGATCGCGAACAATCGCCACCTTTTTCGTGCGCGGTGACTGCAGCATTGGGTTGTGTAGTACAATTGTCTCAAAATAGCGTTGTGCGCCAAGGTACGTTTCATCATGCCAAGTACTATGTAGTAGTACGAGTTACAATATGGGCTGGCACCCGATCGTGACACTCGAATGCAAGGCCGTGTGGTGGTATATCGACCACGGACAGTTTGCAATTGTACATTCAGGTAGGATCATCATGTATCATTAGGACTATCCTCTAGTCAAGGCCTGCTACAATTCCTCGGACCAAACGATTGGCGAATACGCTGCTGCAACACGAATATAACTTATTCATTCCACGCGATACCCTCGACCTGATTCGAGTTCAAATCATTACGAACTCTACTCTACAGCGTTCCATCAAGCTTATCGTTATCGCTGTATCGTAACATGAGTAAGTAGGCCATGGCTATTTCTGGAGCGTCCACACAGCGCGTCCACTCGCGGCACGCTCGTGAGTCCTGCAAACGACCGCGTGGGGTCGTTCACGTCAAAGAACCGCCCCAGTTCCCTCAACGCTGGTCTGCGGGCCCCATCCACCTGCGTCCCCTTTCCGCGGTCTTCCCCAGGGCATTTTCGATCGCGGTAAAGTCCGCCGCAACATCCCCTCGTTGTCGGTGAGCACGTCGTCAGTAATCGTCGGGATCCCGAGCGACTTGAAGAAACCCGCGGCCGTGTTGGCCAGTTTAAGAAACTGAAATCCCCGCTGGAACAGCGCCATGTTGGTGGCAATAAACTTAACGTACTTGTCCGTCCTCGTGGTGATTTCAATCGGGTACGCGCCGCCATTGTCCACAGGAACCCCCGCCACTTCGTCGACTAGGTAAAAGTACAACGGTTCGCCCAGCGTAAACGCATCATATGCAGCTTTGGCCGCGGCTAGGGGGTTGCCAGTCTGCACGGCCGACACGATGTTGGTGCCGACCTATTTGAGGCGTCGAAAGAAGCCCTTGGCTTGCTCCATCTGGAGCTTGGATGGTAGATTTGATTGTTTTTGCGCGTGAGGCTTGCTTTGATGGTTTTGAATGTTAAACGGAGCAAGGACAAACGACGTGGGGACAGTCACTTCGGTACCGTAGCTAAAAATTACACGCAACCGACTCTGCTTGGAGTCGGCCACTTGAGCGAGCATGGCGTACGAAATCATCAAGATCATTTGCAGGTGATGATTCATGTCTTTGATTTCGTTGTACATGTTGGTCATCAACGTCCGCGTCGACGGGTTTGGCAGCAAACTGACGAAGTCCCCCGTTGCAAGGGGTTTATGTGGAGACACCGGAGCAGCCGCGCCTTTTGGTCGTGTTGAGTCCCGAGATGGCGTGGACACTGGGGGCACAGTGAAAAACCGGGGGCGGCGATCGTGTCGAGAAACTGGCTGTCGTCGACGTAGAAAAACACATCGATACCGTAAAAATGCCATTTTATTACATACAACTTTCATTTGACATACAACTTTCATTTGATTTCAAAAATGGGCATTCGAATTCTAAATAGTCCTAAAGGTAGAGAATTCCCTGGTGAACAACCCATAATTAAGTTCTTATGCCCTTGGACTAGGCTTGGAGTCCTTGGACGTTATAGACGCGGAACCTCTATAATTTTGAGTTCCAATTGAAGTCGTATATTTTGACCTTCTTTTTTGCATGTAATTGTGAATATAAATTCAGAGGTTCACTGTATGATTGGTGCATATTCCTATAACCATCTATGATTGGTGCGTTTTCGTACGACCTAAATTGGCACATGGAGTACGTCATAAATTGTTATTTGAAAACAGCTGGAGTACGAGCAGTCATATGCCATCGAGGCGACCACGGGAGGAGCTTGACTGACTTCGCACAAACAGTGCCATTTCAGGCGGACAATACTGTTCACAGACGTTCTGGTTCATGACGTGGCTAAACGGCTTGGCGTTGTCCATGTCAACCAGCTTGTACTGTAGCGCTTCACTTGGCTGACAAATACGACGTTTTCGAGCTTGATGTCGCCGTGTGGGCGTAGCCGACCTGGTGCAATGTCAGGAGCGCGTTCAAAATGTCTTCTAAAACACGGCACCGTCGTTGGCATCCCCGGTGAGAAACGCCAAATCGTCCAAGCAATTGCGGTCGCCTGGGGTCGATAGTTTGAAATCCACTTGAACAGAATGCTGCATGTCGTGCCTTTTTCGAATACAACTGTACAGCACTGGTAGTTGAGTTGCATACAGTAACCAAGTCGGAATCGTCACAGATGACAATGTGATACTCGATGCGTCTGACATCACGCTTGGATAACGCGTGTACCCACTGAAAGAACTTGACTTCGTCTAATTGATCGGTCAGATTGACGACCAACTCCTCGGACGGTTTCTTGGTGTTGATGGATTTGAAAATGCCGTGGTTGCTCTCCCCCAGCAACTCAGCGCAATCGATTGATGAAGTTGCCAATCCTTCAAAATGGCAATTAAAAGCAGTGCACGTTGCTTCCATTCTCAGTATGAACTCGATTTGATTCTATCGTGTTGTATGGTGATGATGAACTATGCACTGCCATATCGTTTGAGGATTGTAAAGTTGATCGTTTCCCGCAGCCTCCAGGAGGCTGCAGGAAATAAATGACGAACGTAGGTATCCTCGGCGACATAAGCAAGGATGAACGCATGTCTAGACGCAGGAGACGAGTTTTGGTGCAAGGCGACTTTGCATTGGATTTCACTGCTCAAAACATATACTTCAAGTATGCATGGACTTCAAATTTTGGCTACGATGCTTTATGGAAAAGTATCCACTACATTATTCCAATGTATACCGTTACATATTTTTAGTACTGGTAATATAGAATACCTAATTTAAAAAGATAACATCGAAATATAGCATCAAGTTAACATAAGCTAACATCAATGTTTGTATAATTTATGACAAACAACGGTAACTATCCAGAAAGTACTCCATGGCTTTGTCGTTGAATTGTTCAGCGTTGCGGGCTACATAACAAGATCGGTGTGCGGCGATTGCACTAATTTAGCATGCGTGAAGTGACCTGAAACGCAATGTTGCCTAACCGGTTAACAATGTTGATATCGTTGTTCCACCCAGCTGTACCGATGTAGGAGTGCCAACACCAAAGGTCATGGGACAACACAGCCTGAATGACGATGTTAGGTTTGCCGTCCTTCCCTTGAAACTGACCATGTCACTCAATAGGGCAGTTTTTCCAAATAATGTACAATCTAGGGACCCGAACATTCCATGAAACCCGCGCTCTCACTGTTGATACACAACTCTCTTTCAATATCGCTATTTGTCGGCTCTCGACGGCACTCGTCCTTAAATACAGCAACGACGGCACCTCAAAACCTATTGCAATATTTAAAATGTTGAACAATTCACATTAAACAACATTAACATTTTCCTGCACTTCAGCATTATTCTCGCTGCACCTGAGGTACTCATCGCTAACACCAAGATCCATAGAAGAGTAGTCGCAGTGCAAAAGTTGCCTTTTACAATGTCAACCAATCTATAAAACGTTTTATAGATTGGTTGAGAATACCTTTGCGTCCACCTGTTTCCCTCGTCTTGCTAGTGGTTCATAAAGTGGAGCAAACGATTCAAAAAGTAAAATGTTTAACCAACACCATTTTGATAACGTAAAATGTGGCTAGGATTTGACCAGCTTTTGTCGCCATTCTATAAATTTGTGAAATGTGCGGCTGCGATGGACCGGACTTTAGCTACTGGATCACGCCGACATCTGTTGTCAGGCTGAAACGTGGTCATCCTGAGCGTGTAGTCGTAGGCGCTCCTGGTGTGGTTGCAGGCGTATTGGTGGTGGTGCGAGGAGCTGTCGTGGTGGTGCTAGGTAGAGACGTTGTAGTCCCAGGTTTAGTGTTCCACGTCAGCGGCTGCTGCGACTGCCATGGATGCACCTAGTACCACGACCAAGTCGCCTTCGACGTCGACGGTGGCCCTTTGCCGCTTGTACCCCCACGGCAACGCCTGAAGTTGTGATGCCAGCTCCGACTACGACCAGATTTTGGCGCCAGACCACTACTCGATCGCCAAAAGTCACCCCTCGCTAAGTCACCTCATCCGCCGAATTCCCCCGATGAACATCGTCTACAAATATTGACATAATAACGATGTTCATTGTGCCAAATCAAGGATTTGGGATCAGAATCACTACAAGTACGGAAAAGATGCAAGAAATAGGGTTATTCAAAATATGGATGCTACGAAGTAAATAGGGATAAAAGGTGATAATAATGATAGGGATGAGAATTGACTTCTTGCTTCTACTCCTTCCAGAACGAGGGAAGCATGTACTTCCTCTGGTCCACGTTACGGCCGAAACAATCATTTTCATCACGCTACTATTGGCTGAGTAAGAAAATACATATATGATTGGTTAAAATTTCACTAATGTCATTGGCGTTGACTACAGGGGAAGCTGGATAGGACAAGTACCGGTAGTTGTCACCATTGTGCTCAAGATAAGAAACATGACAGCCTGAACAGTGAGGAAGATATTCTCCAGGTTTTCAGAGCAAAGCGCCTCAAAAGATGCAACTATCGAATGGATCACATGATCAATGGAGCGACTCACCACGTTGTTTTGCAGAGACTGGATCGAGGCAAAGTACCCCAGGTCGAGAACGTTCAGGTCGGGGCTGTTGGGAGTTTGGCACCGCACCACGAAAGTCTAACCATCTGTGTACACGCAGGCCAAAATTGTGTCAGTAATGGCACCGCGCGGTGTAGCGTTCTCCAGTTGGAGGATAAACGGTGATGATAATGATAGGGATGAGAATCGACTTCTTGCTTTTACTCCTGCCAGGACGAGGGAAGCAGGTACATGTAATTGGGATCCATTTAGCGACGTATACATCTTGTACGGATTAGATCCGTAGTAGTGGTGCAAAAAGCAGCGGTCAAGCACATGGGTAATCATCGACATGGCATTCATAGCCGGTGTGATGACAGACGCAACGATCGTGGTTGTCAGCACGATTTCAGTTTAAATAGCTGCCAGCACCCAAAGCTGCCAGTTTTCAAAGACAAATGTATGTATTAATCTCAACATGTAACACACGACTTAGGAACCAGTGCCTGATGGAGAACTGGTCAGCGCAAAATTTCGTCGTCGATGGACGTGTCCCAATTGATTTAGTCGTGCAAGGCTTCACAGTCGTTGTACAAGGAGCCCTTAGTGGTAATGGGTGCCGTTGAGGTTGTGGCAGAAGCCGCCGTGGTCGTGCTGGGTGCAGCGGTAGTCAGTCGTAGGAGCAGCTGGCGTGGTAGCAGGCGTATTGGTGGTGGTACCAGGAACCACCATAGTACTGCTGGGAACAGCCGTAGTAGTCGCAGGAGCAACCGGCGCGGTAACTGGCGTACTGGTGGTGGTGCTTGGCGCATCCGTGTTAGTCGCAGGAGCAGTTGTCGTGCTGGCAAGGGTACTGGTGGTGGTGCTTGGTACATCCGTGGTAGTCGCAGGAGCAGCCGTTGTGCTGGCAGGCGTACTGGTGGTGGTGCTTGGTTCAGTCGTGGTAGTCGCAAGAGCAGCCGTCGTGCTGGCAGACGTACTGGTGATAGTCCGAGGAGGCTTCGCGGTGGTAGCAGGAGACTTGGTGGTGATACTAGGAGCCTTCGTGGTGAAGCTTGGAGTCTTTGTGGTTCAAGGCGTCTTGGTGGTGCAAGGAGCTTTGGTGGTGCAAGGAGCCTTGGTCGTGCACGGGCTAGGGGCGCTTGCGCTTTCAGCTGGACTGGTGATCGAGACGATCGAGCGAATTGTAACCATGGGTAGGTTTGGGTGTCTACTGCCGAGGCAGTTAGAGAATGATGAAACGCGACCGTCCCATTCATCAAATAGCTCAATCAAATCATCGTCCGCTGTAACTTTACTACCTATATTTAGAGACCACATGATACAGCCTTCGAATTACTCCTTTACTTTGTGTCGGAATGCTGAGCCCTCTACTTATGAGTTTGTTCTTCAAGACAAGTTGCGTCACTATCACTCCCTTATGACACTCCTGTTAGCGCTTACACTGCACACGAGCAGAATCGTGGCAGCAATCGGCTTGATCAAGGTTGTTTGGTGCGCATTATTTTCAAGCAAACAATGAAAATTTAGTGTCACTCCAAACCAAATACTAATACTACGTAGTACTACTAGTTCTATTAATAGTGTCACCAAATGCTTCATCGATGTCCCCTTCGTCAAGTATGGAGTAAATGTAGAATGCAACAATCTTATTGTACTAGTAGTAGCTAGGCTGCATGTTGTGAAGGAGGTTGTACTAACAATAAACTGCCTCGTGTTAAGAGGATATCAAATCTCCGTTACGTGGCTACAGCTCGTGGCTACGTGAATTTAACTTACTGTCAATACAATCGTGTCCTTACCGAACGGAGAAATATTGCATTTGTACTCACCCAACGGATTACTCCTGTTTGGTTTGCCCTTTTGGTACGCTCAAAAGTCTTCCCCCCTATGGTCGAAGTTGCTCGAAAATGCTCCATTCTGAGGCCACGCTCGAAAATAATCCATTGTTTGCTCGAAAATATTGTGAATTCTAAATTTCCAAAATTCGCCTGGTTTGTCTAATCAAAAATGAATCACGCTGGAGTTGTGATTGGTTGAATATACTTGTCCATTCTATAAGAGCCAATGAAATCCGCTCACAATTGGATTGGCCAATTGCGTTGATTCGTGATTCGATTCGGCGGCGAGATTCGATTCGATGGGGTCTGGAAATTCGTATGGAATCCACAATAATGCGCACCAAACAACCTTGATCGAGCCGATTGCTGCCACGATTCTGCTCGTGTGCAGTGTAAGCGCCAACAGGAGTGTCATAAGGGAGTGATAGTGACGCAACTTGTCTTGAAGAACAAACTCATAAGTAGAGGGCTCAGCATTCCGTCACAAAGTAAAGGAGTAATTCGAAGGCTGTATCATGTGGTCTCTAAATATAGGTAGTAAAGTTACAGCGGACGATGATTTGATTGAGCTATTTGATGAATGGGAAGATCGCGTTTCATCATTCTCCAATTGCCTCGGCAGTAGACACCCAAACCTACTCATGGTTACAATTCGCTCCATCATCTCGACCACCCTACTGATTAGCTTCTTGCTTATCACCAGTCCAGCTGAAAGCGCAAGCGTCCCTGGCCCGTTCACGACCAAGGCTCCTTGCATCACCAAAGCTCCTTGTACCACCAAGACGCCTTGCGCCACCAAGACGCCTTGCGCCACCAAGGCTCCTTGCATCACCAAAGCTCCTTGCACCACCAAGACGCCTTGCGCCACCAAGACCCCTTGCTTCACCACCAAGGCTCCTTGCTTCACCAAGGCTCCTTGCACCACCAAGACGCCTTGCACAACCAAGACTCCTTGCTTCACCAGCAAGGCTCCTGGCATAACCACGAAGGCTCCTTGCACCACCAAGACTCCTTGCTTCACCACCAAGGCTCCTTGCACCACCAAGACGCCTTCCACGACCAAGGCTCCTTGCACCACCAAGGCCCCTTGCACCACTAAGACGCCTTCCACGACCAAGGCTCCTAGCACCACCAAGGCACCTAGTATCACCACCCATGCTCCTAGCGTCACTACCAAGGCCCCCAGCGTCACCACCAAGGCTCCTAGCATCTCCAAGGTACCTAGTCTCACCACGCAGGCTCCTAGCGTCACTACCAAGGCTCCAAGCATCACTACTAAGGCTCCCAGCGTCACCACCAAGGCTCCTAGCATCTCCACGAAAGCTCCTTGCACCACCAAGTCTCCTACCATCACCACCAAAGCTCCTAGCACCACCAAGGCTCCTGCCACTACAAAAGCTCCTGCCACCACCAAGGTTCCTGCCACCACCAAGGTTCCTGCCATCACCACTAAGACTCCTTGCACCACTACCAAGGCTCCAGTAATCACCACCAAGGCTCCTTGCACCACCACTAAAGCTCCTTCCACTACCAAGGCTCCTGTCATCACCACGAGAGCTCCTTGTACTACCACGAAGGCGCCTGCTACCACGGTGGCTGCTTCTTTGACTACCACGGCTTCACCTAGCACCACCACGAAGGCTCCTAGCACCACAACGAACTCCCCTGCTACCACGACGGTTTCTCCTGTGACTGCACCCAGCACCACCACGGCTACACCTAGCACCACTACCACGGCTGCACCTGGCACTACGACCAAAACGCCTGCTACCACGACGGCTGCACCTGTGACTACCACCGATGCACCCAGCACCACCATGGCGGCACCCAGTACCACCACGGCTGCACCTAGCACTACCCAGGCTCCTAGCATCACTACAAAGGCTCCTTGCACCACCAAGGCTCCTAGTATCACCACCAAGGCTCCTTGCACCACCACAAAGGCTC